ATAAGTTAATCTTCCACGTTTCACACCATAAGCAAGTACCATCAGACTCTTTTCTAGTAAAATAATATCAGCTGACTCTTTAGCAATATCAGTTCCTTCATCAACACTAATTCCACAATCACTTTCACGGATTGCTGGTGCATCATTTATTCCATCTCCCAAGAAACCTACAATATTATTACGTCTTTTCAAAGCATTTACAATATTGGCCTTTTGCAAAGGAGTTAATTTTGCAAAAATTGTTGCCTTTTCAGCGATTTCTTCTAATTGAGTATCATCAAGACCTTCAAGATCTGTAGTCGTTACGATAGATTTTATTGGAAGTTCAATTTCTTCACACACTTTTCGACAAATAACAGGTGAATCTCCTGTGAGTACTTTAATTTCAACATTGTACTTATGTAATTCTTTAATAGCAGGTTTAGCACTTTGTTTTGGTGGATCTAAGAAACCACAAACACCAACGAGAATTAATTCACTTTCATGAGCAACAGTGAATTCTACATGTTCTTTCATACGTTTAAAAGCAACACCTATAACTCTAAGACCATCATTATTAAGTTTTTCATTAAGATTTTTGACTGAATCTAAAATATCAGGAGTTAAAGGGATAATATCGGTAGTAGGGAAAATTCCATCGGAAAAATCACTCTTTCCAATATAAATATGACTACAACAAGATAACATCTCATCCAATGCACCTTTAGAAATTAAGAAACGATGATCATCTTGATTTGATTCTAATATAACAGACATTCTTCTTCTAACGAAATCAAATGGAATTTCATCAACTTTTAGGAAGCCTTGGGATATATTAAAATGACTAGATCCATTTGAGTCAGGATTTTCATAATATTCAATAACTGCTACATCCATAAGATTTTTGAGACCAGTTTGAAAGTAACTGTTAAGGTAACCAAGAAATAAAGGAAGTTGACATGGTTCTCCCAAGTAATTAAGATGTTTTATAAGTTCGACCTTATTACGAGTTAAAGTTCCTAATAAAAAAATTATTTTTTTTTATATAAAATTTATATTAATTTATAAATTAATTAATTAAAATTAGAAATTTATTTTAAAATAACGTATAATATACCTGTCTTATCCGTACATAGAACATTCATACCACCAAGATTAATAACAGAGTCAAGTCTCTTTACAATACATTTCTTTTTAGATAAGGCAATAGCTCCACGTGCTAAATTCGCGTTTACTATCATGGGCTTTTTTTTTAAAAAAAAAAAAAAGTTATGAATTAATCAAAA